GACAAAGATTTGTCCTGACTGTGGGCAAGGCGGAAAACTCTAGCAACACTAGTGCCTGCTCTTTACCACCAACTGTTTTAAAAGCACACATCCAGTCGTGGGGTCTTTTTACTTTTCCAGGCACAGAGCCCATCCTTGAGAATAAGGTCCCAACTCTCCCCAATGTCCCAGAAGACACCGGAGAGTTTGGCCTGGCCCATCGTTCTAGTGGCCTTTCTCACTCCCAATGCAGAGGCAATGTCTACTCATCCAACACGCAGTGCCTGCCTTGAAACCACACCTGACACTCACTATTTTGTAACTGGATATTTCCACCATAGGACAGACACATCTGTGTGGAAGGGGAGACCTCAGACATTAATCCTCGAGTCTCTTGGCTGGGAATTTGGAGGCACTCAATTAAAACAATGACCTACCTTTCTAGCAAGTAGGACTTGAGCCTCCTAGAGCAGTTCTGGAAGGTGAATCTGCACTTTGAGGGTATACTGGACCTCATAGCTTGGGCTCTTGGCTCTCCATTTGTGCCCACCAAGGCAGAGCTCTGTCAGTGGCCACAGTCTCGGTGTAGTGCTTCTCTAGGCTGGGTCCTAAGTGGGCAGAGACTATGCTATGTATCTATCACACAATGTCCTCTGTTCTCATTCTAAGCACCCCAGGAAGCTCTCTCCCAGATACCTTGATAGATGTGTGTTAGGACCATTCATCTGGCTCCGGTTGTCAATAAGAGTGCGTAGGCAATGAGGATGCTTTCCAGACTCTGTCCTATAAAAATAGGTCTCCTTTTGGACTAGTAAGATGGCTCCCTTGGGCAAAGGAACTTGCTGCCAAGCCTGATGACCTGGACTCAGTCTCTGGGTCTCACTTGGTGGAAGGAGAGAAATGACTCTTGAAAGTCATCCTTTGACCCCCGACAGACACATGTGCCATAGCATGTGTGAGCACGCGTGTGAACTTGTGCACATATACAAAAATAAGTGTCCTATACATTTAATATATCTTCTTTTTAAAAAATGCAAGTACGTACACGCTCCTGTGGGTGAGTGGATGCATGCGTGAGAACTCATGCAAGTGTGCGTATATGCATATGGCAGTTAAAGGATGAGCTCACATCTCATCTTCAGGAATGCCGTGCACCTCCTTTGAGACAGGGTCTCTCACCAGGCTGAAGCCCACCACTAGGATAGCTTGGCTGGGCAACAAGCGGACATCTGCCTCCCCCACAACAGTATTACAAAGGAGCACCATCACAGTCAGCAGGATTGACTTTAGGTCTTCTGCTGCAAGGCGAGTGCTTTACCAACTGAGATATCTCCTTCACTCCCACCCCCAAATATTGCCTAGAACTCCATAGTTCCCTCTGTCACCTGGCAACCTTAGAAGTCACACCTTCAAGATAGTGCAGCTGTTCCCTGGCAGGGGCTGCCCCAGGCTTCACACGATCGGGACATAAATCTGTATCACGTTCAGATACCGAGAGTAGCAGTATCTACTCATTACTTCAGCAGAACCTCACCTAGCCTGACGGTTACAATCAACCCCTGCATTTCCATAGAACCACACAGCCTCATGTATCACAGAGAAGTCATTTCCTCTCAGGGGGCATGGAGGCTCAGGGAAGTCAGGACCCCTGTACCGGAGATGTGTCTCAAAGCAGCTGAGAACTTGGGACTGGGTCCGAGGGATCTTCTTTGGATGTCGCTGCTTACCTTGGGGACCACGTGCTCAGCCCCACAGTTCCAGTGTGCAAGAGACAAACAAGACCCACCATGCGCATCTCCTACCGTCCTCTCAGCCTCACACACCACCTCTTCCAGTCCTCCTTTCAAATGCCAGGGAGGAGGTGGAGACGCAGGCAGCTGGAGGCCACACAATCTGGTTTGGGTCTCATTAAGTGTATTCAAAACAAAGGTCAACTATTTGCATGCAAGCGCTCGGGTCAGACCTCATTCCTCAGTTTAATTTCCCCTTTCAAACCAATGAAAGAAACGCCTTGCAGCTCACTCCGAGAGCCAGTCGGTCGGCCGACTGCCAGCTCCAGAGGTGGCAACAGAAGTATTTCCTGCTGGGCACAGAGCCAGCATGTCTCAGAGGTCTCATGTGCACATACACGTGTACCTGAATGGTGCTGCAGGAGGCACAGGAAGTG